ACGCTTTCTTCAGCTCTGTGGAACTTTTCATCCTTGTTTTAAGTCCTTTCATACTGTATCTTCTATATGTGTTTTGGTAAAAAGAAAAGGGTCTTCAGAAACATATATTTTGCAATAAGACCATTGTGATTTTCACATTTTAAAATAATTTTCATGACAAATAAACATGTTCTCTACAAATTCTTCTTACTGTAATGCATGCACAATTTTCAACTAAACTGCAAATTTTTTACAGTGTAATTCCCATTATGTCAATGGTGATTTGTGATTCTCATTAGATCCTAAATATTACACAGTATTTTTAAACCACAATAAATGGTAAAACAAGAAATGCTTAAGGATGTATGAGAAAAATATAAATAATATATTATTTTTTATGTACTGCAGTAATAATCATTTTTAAAAAAATTAGGGATGAGTGATACCATTTAATTTGTTTTCAACATGGACAAATCCCAGATACCACTATTGATAGCGCTAATTAAACTGACATTTTTGAAAGCCAAATTTAATACATTTTATAATCCAAAAACACATGAACATTTCTAATATTTCAGGACCAAGCTATCCTCTCTAACTATTCACTCACTACAGTAATGAGAAAGCAATAGCTAAAATATGTAAAGGATCTAAAACACGCTACATTTCCTTTAAGCACAAGACAATATTTTTTTCATTAGACTTTGCAATTACATATAGACTTAACCTAGACAGGCTTTGTGAGATTCACGCATCTAAATGTCAAGTAACCAGTTATGCAAATGCAAATGTTGCAATAACAAGTACATGTAATGATATCCTTAGATTACGATCCTGGTCTACCACCATGGAGCAAGACACTTAACCCAAGGTTACTCCTAAGGGACGTGGCAGTAAAAGTGGACTAGACCTAAAAATAAACCCCCAAGAAGAGCCATAATAAAACAGCAGATCAAACCAATGAAGAATCTGTATCAATCTACACAAGAAATCTTTTTTAAAGGGTAAGGGGAGTCCTTTTGATTTCCTCAGTGAATTTGCATTCCACAAATGCCACTCGCCACCACAAAACGCCCCGAGTCTGCAAAGCCCTGCACCGCCATTACATCCTGCTAGAGTCATACCTAAGAATCGTATGCATGATCCTTACACATTTATTAATTACCAAGCAATGATATCAGCTTATTACCACCAGAAACAGACATTGAACAGCAGTCTACCGCAGTAAACATAAGACTACAGCTCTAATTGTCCTTTCCTCTCTACCTCACTCCATCAGACACAGCGCAAGCTTAAATATTTCATTTGGCTGCTTGCAACGAGTGGAAAGACTTGGAATTTGCCGGAGCGCTGATCCTGGAGGCACATCAAACATGGCCGCTGTCATCTCGTGTTTGTTTAGCTGTTTGCATCAAACTAAAGTGACCTAGAGGATTACAGCAGAAATGTTGTCATCCGTTACCAATAACAAGACCAAGAAAGGTTCAGAAAGCATGAGATCCTCTTCATCTCCAACATGATTCAGTAAGCAAAAACTAACTTGCTAAACTGTACTTAAATGTTTAATAAAGCATTTGATTAAACACGCCAAAAAAGTACAATTCTGTCATCATTTACTCACTCTTTGTGTCTTCTGAAACCTGTACGACTTACTTTCACGTAACACAAAAGGAGGTATTTATAGCAATCTGCTCTCTTATATTCAAACTGAATGGCTGTTAAGCAACACGTTCAGTGAATAAGCTACATTTCTTTCAAAGCTATTGTATGGCTTCAGAAGACTTGAAATACAACACACAAGTTACTTTAATGGTGCATTATGGGGATTTTTTGTGTTTTTGGAGCTTGTTATTCTCCTTTTGTATTTCACAGAAGAAAAAAAAGTCATACAGGTTTCGCAAGACGTGAGGGTGAATAAATTAATTTGGATTTCTGGGTCAACGATCCTTTTAAGAAAGTATAATGACAAAATTGTACAAAGTAATGAAGGGTGTAAGATCACTAGGAACTGGCCATACTTAAAAGTGGGCTCAGGAATCACAAATTGAACAAATTATCACAATAATCCAGCAATAATACTCCATTAAAGCATTTAGCCTGGAAAGGTTGTGCATTATAGTGATTTTTCCTCAGTTAAATGGCTTGCACTGGACATAAAAAAGCCGTACACTGTTATAAAAATAACTTTTCCGTTTTTCTACTTCAAAATCACATTTAATTCAATGTGTTACTTATGTTTCACAAACAGTTACAATGAAACGTAATAGCAATTACCAAGTGAAAACGGTTTCTACACCAAATTTTGTTCGGCGTACATGTACAACAGCCATTGCAAAAAAAAATTTTTAATAATAAAAAACCATCAGAGAGACATTAAAAGGCTTTCAACCAATCAGGATGCCTTGATTCCAGAAAACTGAGTTGCACTGTGGTGCAACTAGGATAATCTCGTAAATAGTGCAGCACTGAGAACCGGTGGGAAGCTGCGAGATGACAGCAGGTTAGTCATTGTAAAAGTTATCCTCATTCCAACCCACGGCGCAGTGAAAATAGCTCATTTAAGGGTGCAACAGCAACCAGGGAGGAAAATGGGCTCTTTCTATATGTGAGCGCCAGACATCTCCACAACCCCACAGACGAATCTCTCAAGTCTCACAGACTGCTGCTTCCTCCCACAACCGCACTGCTGGGTCATGATGAATACTACAACATCCTGCTGCATACCTGGAGGTTGATTTCACTGCACGGTATGCTTCATTGTGGAAAGCATTCCCTGAGGTCACCAACAGAAACTCTCATAGAGACAGACCGATCACCGGGTTGACTAATGTTTTTCATTGATATTCATATTTTTGATTCTTCAACATAGGGTCTTACTGCCATTTGGTGGGTCTTTAAGAAAACATCACGCAACAACACAACTAAGAGTTCAACAGGAAACAGCAGCGTTCACAGGAAACGCAACTTACTTATTGTTTGCATAAATTACTCATCTTTTTATGCAACAACCATTCATTCTGAAGAAATTAGTAACATTTAACAGTCGCAGGCCAAATAAATGAAAAAATTAAATAAAAAGTCATTAATAAAAACATCCATAATGCATATCATGTCTTTAACATTGCACTAAAAAGAATTAGGCCTAAGCTATTTATATTAGTGTAAAAAAAAAATAGTAATAAAACAATAACTAAAAGTCATCATATTGTACATGTAAAAAAACATCTGAAGAGTTCAGATGCAAAAGCCTCTAAACGCCATCTGAAATCTGTCTAAAATGAGTATTTTTATCAGGCTCCTATATTTATGTTCAGTTATTTCACTTTAATTGCATAGAAAAGGACCTATACAGTAAAATTACTGAACCTAAACATAGAAGCCTGATAAAAATGCTACTTTTAGATGAAAATTTCAGATGGCACTTAGAGGCTTTTGCATCAGAACTCTTCATTTGTATATTGGTTAAAATATTTAAACATTTTAATTTTCTAAAGTGAAACCTGTACTTCATGGTTACAGTGAAGATATATATTGTGAAAATTCATAGTACTCACAAATTACAGATCGACAATATTTTTTTGTAGGACAATACCAAATTCAAAGATTTAAGTTTCAAATAATAGACACGAAGAACCAATTTTTCATTATTTCACTACGTTTCAACACTGTAACTTGTTACAAGTATAAAAACAAAAGCATACACATTGTGGATATTGTCAAATGTAAACAACTGCAATTTGTAAACACATTTTAACAGTAACCCAGGTTATAAAACGGGGAAGAAAGTCCCCAAGAAAACTGAACACAAATATGGAAGTCCGAGAAAAATACGAATTTTAGAAGAAAATTTCACATGGCACTTAGAGGCTTTTGCATCAGAACTCTTCATTTGTATATTGGTTAAAATATTTAAACATTTTAATTTTCTAAAGTGAAACCTGTACTTCATGGTTACAGTGAAGATATATATTGTGAAAATTCATAGTACTCACAAATTACAGATCGACAATATTTTTTTGTAGGACAATACCAAATTCAAAGATTTAAGTTTCAAATAATAGACACGAAGAACCAATTTTTCATTATTTCACTACGTTTCGACACTGTAACTTGTTACAAGTATAAAAACAAAAGCATACACATTGTGGATATTGTCAAATGTAAATAACTGCAATTTGTAAACACATTTTAACAGTAACCCAGGTTATAAAACGGGGAAGAAAGTCCCCAAGAAATTTGCAGGGAAAAAAGGCATTTATTTAGTAGACCTATATTAAGAAACCGATAACGGATTAAGTTACAGTATCTACAAAATATCGGTCAAACCGACTGTCGGTCAATATATTAACAACGTTGTTTTTAACAGTAGCATCCACTGGCATTTTATAGGTGTGTGTGTAAAATCGATATTACTCTTCATTTTCATAAACACGCCTCTATTTGGTTAATCCCCGCTACCTAGTAGCCTAATTAGTGTACAAACAAACAAACATTTCAAATACAACGAAGAGATTAAACCCTTGCAGCCTAGCATTATTTTAGCCTCATTTTACATTGGCCGCAAATGGCTCCATAAAAAGTAACGTTACGCTTGAAATCTGCGCGTTTTGTAAATTACTACACCGAATGTATGTCCATAAGCCATATTGTTCGCAGAGCCGATGGCTAATCTTTAAAATCCCTGGATCCGCGAGTATGTAGCCGAGTGTTTTCGCTTTAATAAGCTCGCTAACGATAGCCGCAGCGCAACTTAGAGAACGTAAACAATGACTGTAACGTTAATTGCTGCGTTCGCGCTCATTACGACGCTGCCCCAGCCTGCTGAAGAACACAGCGCTGCAACAAAACAACAGTTTCGGCCATAATAAAGAAAATAAACATGTATTATCTGACAATTTAACACTCTACAGAGTCCTTTTAAACATAAAGCCCACATGTAAAGACAGAAAATCCCAATGACTTACAGCAATAGCTGTTAGCCAGTTTCAGATGAAACTGTGTCGATGTCGCAAATTCCTTACCTGTTAAACGCAACTTAACGGGTCCATTTCTTCTAACTCCTTGATTAGACATGTCCTTGACCCTTATCCAGGCTGATTACTACAGAAAACGAGTCGGATATGTTATAGAGTCGCTTTTTGGTTGCCCTCAACGCCAGTTTCACAGGGAACAGAAAATAATGGAGTCACGGTCCTGTGGCCCGGATGTGCACAGCCCTGCCATGTCTACATGCATACACGCTCGCGCCGCGGCTTTAACGCGCTCCTAGTACTACTAGCGTCTGCGAAAGTGAATCCACGACGTTCTCTCAAAAGGTCGGCTTACAAAGACCTCCTGGAGATCAACGCATTTTCCACGAACGAGCCGCGCTCGGCTTCTGCTGCCGTTCCAAGGAGACCTTGAGGGAATGGTATCGCTACAGGCGACTGGATTGAGGAAATGTGGTTTGTAAGGTGTCTGGCATCTGCTGAGCCACTAAAACCGCCCAAACTGTGACCTCACACCCGCTTCTTATTCATAGCGCTCTATCTATCTCTGGCTGTCATCATGTCTACTGGAATCACTTACTTTTACACTTTATTTAGACTTAAGTCTTGGACAAACAAGACACGCAAACGAAAAACCACTTGTTCTTTTCCATTTTTTTTTTATTTACAACAAATAAAATTGAAACAGATTCGTATGTACAACTCGGAACACGAGGTCCTCACAAAAGACAGACATGAACAAGACGAGTGGCGTGAGGAAATGTTCAGAACAATCATACAAAGAGATCACAGTTTAGAGATTTAGAAGTTGAAAGTGCTTTGGCTTTCACTGATCTGGAACGCATAGCCATCGGTTGTCGCTTCGGGGGCAACGCATTCGTCCTCTTCCTCCTGAGAGACGGACATAAAAAGCAGGAATTTAGGAAAAGCAGGGGTTTTTTTAAGCATAAGAAACCAAGAATGCACAAGGAGTGTGTGTGTACATTTGTATGCATGTATATTTTATAAATCATTTATAATCTCACATGCATAAATCAAATTCCAAGTAATATATATATATATATATATATATATATATAGAGAGAGAGAGAGATAGAGAGAGAGAGAGAGAGAGATTTAACATTCAACCGACCTCTCCAGAGAAATACTTTTCAATGAGGTTGAGGGAGGCCTTGTAGACCATTTCATTTTCATGGGATTGCAAAGCTTCGATTTTGTCCAGGCCGCCATATTCCTCAATCATCAGGGACAGCTTTTCAACCTCACCAATCTTTTCACCAGCCTAAAAATATAAATAAAATCGATTAAATAAAATGGTAGGTTTAACACTGGGGGGAAAAAAAAAAAGAATAAAACCCCATATTTAAAAGTTACGAGGGAACTACTGTCTTTTACATCCAAGTAAAACATTATGGGGGAAAAAAACAAAGGTTCTATGCATCAGTTGTTGAGACGTGGGTCAACAATATATCTATGCATGTCTCAAGATCTATAACAAGCATTCAGAAAATAGATATTTCACATTAACCGAAATCATACCAAAAAGATATTGCTGATTGCATCCAAGACGACAAGAATAGTTTTGCTGTCCTTAGTGGAGAGCAGGTTCAGCAAGGGTTCTAGTATGTTGGCCTGAACAAGGTAAACCACTTGCTCTACTGTGCCTCCGCTGGTGTAGTTGGTCACTGCCCACACGGCCTCCTTCTGGGTCTTGTAGTCACCCTGCATAAAGTATGAGAGGAAAATTAGTTCAGAATTAAACATGGTCACAGCTTCACAGACAAGTGTTCTCCTGTGCTCAAGTGGCAACGCACCCGTCGGAGAACTTCCACCAGGTAAGGCACAATGCCAGCATTGATGACCTCCTGAATCTGATAGTCCTTGCCAGCCGTGATGTTGGACAGGGTCCAGGACACCTCCTTTTGAATGTTGTTCTTATGGTGGCGCAGCAGAGCAGGGAACATGGAAAGAGCGCCAGCGCTGATCACCGCCTGGGTCTGGTCATCTGTACCAGTGACGATGTTTCCGATGGAACGCAGTGAAGGGGTCTGTAGGAAGAGTGAAAAAAAAAATAAACCTTAAAAATAAAAAAAAAGGTTATCTATAAAAGAACAAATGAGTGTCACAACTTTCCACCAACTTACCACAATGGAGAGCTCGCCTGATCCCAGTAGCTGCACCAGTCGAGGAACCACGCCAGTTTCCACCACAACCTCGATCCTTTCATTGGGCCCATCGGTCAGGTATGAGATTGCCCAGCAGGTGTCCGCCAGCACCTCCTTATCTTCATGATGCAAAAGACGGAGAAGTGTTGGCAGCATCTGTTTCACGGCGTCCAGGGGAGGTGCAGGGTTCTTATTGCGGCACATGTTTGACAGGGTCCAGGTGACGTTCCTCAGGTAACCAGACTGCAGAAGAAGACAGACTGGTTGGTCAGGAAAAATTACTGAAGCTCTGATGCCACCTACTGGTAAAGTATGCCCACTACAATTTCAATAGCAGTTTAAAACCAATCGAAAAAAAATATATATATTTATTATATATAAAAAATTGCTAACCTTACTGCGACAAAAAACATTTACATTAAAACAATGTTAAATTGTCATGAGCTCAGTCAAGCCATGACATTCAATCTGTAAAAGCAAAGTGGTTCTCAATTTTTTGTACGTATATATTTGAAATGGTTAAGAATTAATAAAATCCATATATAAGAATAAAAATTTTTTTTTTAAAAAGTCGGTTTTAAAGTAATCAGATTAACAAACATTCTAATTTAATAAAAATAAGTGGAATAAATCAATTTTAACCATTTAAATTTATTTAATAAAATATTTTTTAGTGATCTATTTTTTTTAAATAATGAATAAATATTTAATTTAATAATTGAACATTTGTTTAATTTTACTATTTGGTTAATATTTTTAGATAACTAAAAATCTATTTTTAATAAACATTTAAATTTTTTACAAAATGTAATTTAATAAAATCACACACACACACATATATATACACACACAGTGGGGCAAAAAACTGTTTTGAATCGTGCATTAATATGGGTCATCTACACACCTGACAGTTCTGGCTTTTCTCTTGAAGAGGAGAGGTGGCCTCGTCCGGTAGACTGCTCACGTTTCTCCTTTTCAAAATCTGCTCGTCTTTCTTTGCTTTACGAAGCTCAACATTGACTTCGATCCTTCGGCGCCTCAGCTCCTACATTAAAGTATTTAACATCTTTTATGAACTGAACTGGGGCGTATTTGAAAGAAAACAACCGATATCAGCACTTTTTACTCAGAACTGCTTACGGTGACATCTTTTCCTTTGTTTTTGAACTGAGTGAGTCGTGGACTGTTCTCAGCAGCAGCAGCCATTTTAAAGACGTCTGTTCAATCACAGTATATCGCAACCTGAAATAAAGTTACACGTTCGTGAGAATATCAACACAAGTTGTATCTCTCTCACACACACACAGCTCAGAAAGTAGAAATGCATACTTATGAATATAAAAACGAAATTATAAGTCGACTGAAAAAGTGGACCTTACCGCTTTCTAACCAAAGGACTGTGGCGCTGGACTTACGAAACAGACATTTAAACTCGTGCTACGAAGAATCTCATTGGTCCGTTCGAGCAAAAGCTTTTTCCTATTGGTCCGTTTTGAAAAATCACACTGCTGGCGGACGTAGCTTACGTATTAACGCGAGATCTGGCGAGAATGCCGAACAAGATTTCTGGGAATGAACTTCCTTCAAATTAACATAGATTTGTATATTTACATGATTAATAAATATATATTCATATTTGACCTTTCTGTTATTGACATCTGATCGTTTTATTAATTTGATCATCTGAATCAATGGTCTCTATAAATATAACAGCTGTTTATAAAAACCGGATTATTTCAAATATTTTCAGTTAAATCTGGAGAAGTGGTTTCAAATAGTTGTTTTCTATTTATTATTTACTTACCCGCAATCATTTAAACAATACTGCATTGTTTGTATAAATATAAAGGCTATTAAAGGATGTGCTGTTAGGATTATTAAATATACCGTTCTGTTAAAATAAATCGGTAGAGAGCACTTTGGTTAAAAGGAATGCGCGTGATAAGGGGGCGGGGCCTAACAGCTCTAAGTTTAATTCTGATTGGTCAGCGGCGATGACGCTCGGCTTTTTCAAAATTTAAAAACCTTAGTGGAAGAATGTACGGAAGAGAAAGACTTTGACACCACGTGTTACAGTATGCACAACGCATATATCCACTGTATGCTGAAAAAAAATAACATTTTACATTAACAGTAACGTATATCGTGTCTCCCACTCAAAAAAAAAAAAGGATTTCGTATTTCTGTAAATCAAACAATCCTTTTATGGCGTAATTATCATATTTATAAAAGGAAATTATTTGTTTGATAGTGATAACTCAGTAACTGGCGAATTCATTAATTAATTAGACTACCATTTGAAGATCCTAAGTGTATATGTAGGCTTGAAACAAATGATCCCAAGTATACAAACAAATAAGAGTAATAAAAAGTCTTTATAGAAGTGTAATTCTATTAAGATCAGAGATAGGAACAAAACATGATTATTGCCATACAAATTCTGTAAGATGGGAAAAGTGCACGTCAAAATATAACACAAAAATGTTTACTGTCATTAGTATATCCTTAACTATAAACATGAGAAAATATGTGTGGTTTATTTTGTGCCTTTTAACACAATTTTCTAGACAAAACAGAATCGTGTTAGATCATTTATGTATCTACAAATACACCATCTTTAAAAGAAATCCAATATGAACTGCCAGATTGTATAGGGGTCTATTCATTTTCCAATGAAAAGAATATAGACATCTTAATCAATGTAGAAGAGAGAATCCTGTCCCCTCCATTTATTTGTTTCATATACACATCAATATTTCTTCAGTTGTAATACAAAAAAAGAAAAGAAAAGACAAGTTATACAAACAGGATACTTTCTTGACTAGCACTTTCATCAGTCCTCGATGCATTTTTAGAGCAACGCTTCGTAGTTTAGGCAACTTGATCTACCCCACTGCTTAAAAACCAATTAGTAGATTGCGTCCACATTCCACTTCTGAAGTAGTACGATGAATCATATGAAGGGGGGAAAAAAAACAAAACGGGTGCACCCATGATATACTCCTGCTTTCCTGGAAAATGCAAACATGATTCCGGAGGGTTTTAAAAACTCACAAAAACATTTCTGTAGGCATTTAATCCATAGAGAAATCCAATAGGAGAGCATCCCAGTCTAAACTCATTGCTTTAACAATCAAAAATGTAAACCGTCCATTCTTGAGCCGAACCCACAGCTTTTACGTCCGATATTCCACCAAACGCTGTGGCTATGTGCGGTGCTGGCCGACTAGGATAGAGCTCCATCTTGAATTAAATGTTCAAAGTTTATTTAGAACAGCATGTGGTTGTATTCTATGAAGCTGATGACTGTAGTTTGTTGTTATGAGACCTAGAGAATACAGAGAGAATGAGGTTAAAAGCCCTTTGGTTTTATTGAACATCCACAAATGGAAAATGAAATCTACAGCACATAGAAAAATAGCCTCGGGGGTTAAAGGAATGGAAGCCATGTTAACATAATACAACGGGAATGCCTTCAATCATTTACATTGGTGCTGGTTTCAATCTAAATTTGGAAGAAATGAAAAACAAACAAAACATACCATTTAAACATTTTTTAAAGCATGGTCCTTTATTTCAACATGGTAATCCTAATAAAAGGATTTAAAACTCTTTATTTTGCTTCATATTCAAGCCAACCGAAACTGCGTAGATTCTGCGCAAGTTATAAAGTTGCACAAACTATCAGCAATGCATGAGTCCTCTCAATGAAAACCTGGACAGAGCAGCGAACCAGCTGAAACTAACACGTTGTGAAGCACATTACAATAAAACTGAACAGAAAAAGTCTTAAAATGTATTTAATCAGCCAATCCACATGATAAATATGATCATGCATCCATGTAAACATCATAAATAACATCATGTGATCAGCAAACGTAATGGGGGACAAAAAAAAAAACAGGATCATAAATGCACAGACATAGTACTTCAACATGGCTGCCGCTCTCTGATTGTCAAAGGCCTCACTGGAGTTTTGGCTTTTATTGACAGGTTCTCATTTCTCTTAAATGTACATCAGTTTCCACTGTTAATAAAACAGCAAGTTCCATGATTCTCTAATACAGAATGACTCCGCCCCTTCAGCCACTATGACTTATGACAATCTGCAAGAAAGGATAATGGATTGTATGAATGACATGCATGAAGCACAAACACAAACACTTACGTTATCAGCATACAGTCAATGAAATAAGACAGGAATAAGAGGATGAAAAGCCAGCCAGAGAAATCTAAGGTTAGATAACCACTATACTGCCTCTTGAGTTAAAAAAAAATATTCAAAGCAGAAACATTCATAGTGTGAAAACAATGTACATGAAGACAAGCAGATACTAAACAAAATGTGATGTAAGCCAATGCAATGGAAAAGACTAATGAAAATTGTGAAATCAACACGAGAGCAAACTATAAAGTAAAATGCAGCTACAAATTTAGTATGAAAAAACTAATACTATGGCTTAAAAACACCTTACCTGTGGTAAAACCACTGTAACAGCCTTTTATATAAACAGATAATCGGTTTGACCGATTTTTAAATCGATATTAGGACCTTTCGCACCGCTTTAGTTCCAGAACTAAATGTACAGTACTAAAGTACTGGGACGATTTTGCGCAAACTATTTCCCTGTACTATTTAAAGGGCTGCATTCGCACCGACAGTGTGTACTAAGAAGTGACGTAAGCCGGTCGACAGCGACGTCATTTGTGCGCAGCGTTCAACAACAGAAACAAAGAAGAACAACATTAACAACAGGAGGATGGAGGACGCTGTGATAGGAGCGGCGTTTTTGTTGTGTTTCGCGAGTTTCACAATAATGGACATGGAAAGTCGACGTATACGTAAAGCGATTGAAAGAATGGAAAGGAGGACTAAGAATCCGTAACGACAACTGGCAGTGCTACATTTGCTACAAGTGCCTGCACTTCAGCGTCCGTCCATCTATTGCTGTTCTCCATGCTTGCAAAATAAGTTGACACAATGCTTACAGTATGTTTACATGGCGTTTTAAATCATGGCGGGTGAGGGGGGTTTGTGCGCGGTTGGCCCATACATGTCTACTTTCGTCACGATTATTCGTACGCGTTTGGCCAATCAATGTCTACTTACGTCACGATTAGTACCAGTTGTGCTGGTTAGACCCTGCTCCGGATAAGGAGCTAATTTGGTTCTCGAAAAAGGCAGTCCGGTACTAAAATCGCACCCAGTTCCGGCAGTGCGAAAACACCAAAAAGTGCGTAGCTCCACAATTAGTTCTGGTACTATGAAAAGGTTCCCACGGTGCGAAAGGCCCTAATGACCATTTTCAAACTACCTGGTTAACAGTACTTTTGATAGACGACAAAAACATATTTAATGTATTTTCTGGATAATTACTCTAAATACTAGGGGTGCAATGGTTCTCGGTAAAAAATTGAACCGTACCGTTCTCCACACATGGTTCGGCATACACTAGGACCGCGGTTCAACTTAAATCTGACAATGCATCTGTAATATGGTTTGTTAGAGTTCGGCTAATGCATGTTTCTGTTGATGGATACAAATTCTGGCTTCCCAATACTTTACAACAAGAGTGATGAGAGAGAAAAATAAAACAATACGTGGACAAACCAGTCACTCTTTAATCAATGCGGGTGCTTTATGCTGGAATAACTGTCATTTATGTCGTCATCACGTGTTGATAGTGCAGGTGAGACCTGAACAGCACACGTTGCTATCTGTGTTTAAACTAAACTCATTTAAGCCTTACCAGTTTAAATATTAAAGAGCCAGAAGACGTGAACTCGCGCGCGCAGTGAGAAGATCTGTGTGGTCTCTCATCCGAAGTGCGTGAACCTGCGTCTCAGAACACGCGCAAATATTAAGCTCTCTGTGAAGTATTGTGTTTGAATGGACAAATTCACACAAAAATTATGTCAAAATGCCCGTCTTGGTGAGTATCCTAGCAGACATAGTCGGCTGAACGTACAGTATCAGTGCACTGGATCAGTGCGTTCTCTTAAAGTGACAGCACTTTCGTAAAGTTAATCAAACAGCAACAACACTGAAATCACTTACTGCTCTTGATTGAATAACTTTTGTAACTTTAATAAGGATTCATCTTTAATTTATACAGTCAAATATGCAATGTTATTTTACATTTGATTTATTCAATTTCTGTACCTAAAAACTATATTAGACCTACCTAAAAAAAACTGAAAAGTGCTGTTAATTTTATTTGTATCTTTTTTCACTGTTTAATATAAAAAAAAAAAATATATATATATATATATATATATATATATGATTTAGAATGAATATTTTTAAATCATTTAAATTAGTTTTACAAGACAAGCATTCATCTCTATCGGTTTTAGTCTTTCTTAAAGTGATGTTGGTTGGTGAGTAAATGACAGAATTTAAACTA